TGTTACTCTCTTGTAACACCTCTAATCTTCTGGCGCTCAAATGACCTTATGCAGTTGCGAGCGTCGTAAAACCTCTACTAAAATCTATATGTCTGTCTCTGTTTTTGGTGGGGTATGTATTAGTTTTTTGGCCTGGCTCGCTTATTCAGCATGCGTGAGCAATGAACGGTCATAAATGAGCAATGAGTGGTTCCCTGGTAATACTCATAAATGAACAAATGAATAACAAACTGTTAACTTGTGAAGATTTGTTTTCTGCACCTCTGGAGCAGCGACAGCTTTTCGTTTTGTGAGCAGATGAACAGATGGACGGAGAGACTTCTTGCATTGCGTCCTACTACTACCATTCCATGTACAGTGGAGTCCACTTATAATGAGTCCTGAAATAACGAGAAATCTCTTTATAAAGACACTATACTAAAACCCCGTTTTTTCCCTTCTTTATCTTTGTAAATAAAATACTGCTATTGCGCAATCAGTCACGCAAGTTGGTTATAACGGAATATTGCTGCTGCTGTGCACAGCGTACAGACCAATTAAACATATAAAACCTCGCCAGTTGAGAAAGTTGTTGGTGATCCAGCGAAACAAAAAATGGGAGAGCCCATGTGTGTCAATATTGAAGGCCGGAGCGAATGAGTGGGGAGGGTGTGGCATGCGCTGACAAGCAGAACGCATCGCATGATAGGCCAGCCTAGTCTAGATTATCTAGGCATACCGTGCCTCTCACTTCTCTGGTGTGGGATGGAGAGGTCACAATGCTGTGATGGATGGAGTGAATGTGTGATGTGTGCAAGCAGACGCAACCAACCACAGGGTGTGGTGGGGTGGGGGACAACATCGCAGGCGAGTTAGCCTAGAGCCAGAGCCCCTTCTTTCTGATGGCCAACGCTGAGCTGTCAACATTGCTAGTGCTAGAGAAAGAAACGTGATTCGATTTTTGATCAAGTAAGACCTAGAGATCATGTTGAACAAAATCATCATCAGGGGAAATACAAAAAGGAATAAACAGAACACCCACTCATAGATTAGGCCTACTTTACTATTTCCCTTGAATTTATTACTGGATTCCTTACAACAAGAATCCTGCTGTAACGGACATTTTGCACCAGTCCCCTCTTTCTCTGTATAACAGGATTTCACTGTACAGGCCTATGTCATGTTTAGACAGATATGTTCATGCACAGGTGTCACGTCAAGTAATCCACTACACAACACAACCCCCCCCAAAAAAAAAAACCCAACCAAAAACAAATTCGCCCCCACATACTATGCTGTCATCGTAGTGGTAGTACATTATAACTGAACGCTGTTCATGGTAGGTACTTTTTTCCCCAAGACCTTTCCCGAGTGGGGAAAAATTTTGACTAACTGAGTCTTTCTGTTGGTACGTTGTATCTCTCCCAATCCGGGTTGACCCTGACCGGCAGTGGTGTGGAAACTTAAATTATCTGAATTATGCCGATGAGAGCGTAAAACACCTTCATTGAAAAAAGAAAAAGAAAAAAAAAAGAAGACATCAAACGTCTATTGTATTTATTAATCCTTTCATTCCCTCAGACCTGTCCAACATCTTTGAGTCGTTCCTGCCCCAGCTGCTCACCTACCCCAACCCCATCGACCCTCTCAACGGAGACGCCGCAGCATTATACCTCCACAAGCCAGAGGAGTACAAAAAGAGAGTCAGAGGTTTGTCTCTTTGCTCCTTGCTCTTCCCGTCGACCATGAGTTTTTTCCCACCCCTTGATGGGCGAATAAAATGATAATAATAATTATAGTAGTATTAAATAGCATTTATGCAGGGCATTTCCATTTTCGAAAAAATGTTCAATGCGCATCACATTCATAGAGACAACAAAATGTCAAAACTACTGGACAGGGGTGCACGTAGAACATAATATTAAAATGTTATTTACCTTTGCTTTTTTTCTTTGCTGTGAGAAGAAAAGTGTTTATTCATGGTTGCTGCTTATTTTTTGCTGATATAGAAAAACAACTATCTTACTCTTTGTGTGTAAGTTGATGGAGGGTACTGTTTGTTTCTTAGTCATTGTTGTTAATCTGGTTACCCCGAGGCAGTGTCCTTCTTTCCTATCTGTCATCCTTATCTCTTCTCCTTTTTTTTGGTGTTAGTTACTCTCTCTTGTAACACCCCTAATCTTTGGCACTTAAATGACCTAATTGTGTTGCAAGTGCCAGAAACTGTAACTAACCCCCCTAGCCCCCCCAAAGAACCAAACAACAAAAAACAAAACAAGCTTCTCTTTAGTCTGAAGTGAGAACTCATCCCTACTTCTTACCTCTCCCCCTTTTTTTTTGTCCTGTGTTCTTTCCCTTTCTTGTTCCTGTCTATCTGTCTTGCTTATCCCCTGCACCAAATAACCATTATCGTGCTCAGTTCATGTGCTTCTCTTTACTGAAACTATAAACGCTGTTGTTGTGTGTGTTTCCTCACGCAGACTATGTCCAGCGCTATGCGACAGAGGAAGCCCTGCGTGAGTCAGAACAGGCGTCGTCTTCCAGTGAGTCCTCTATGAGTGACTTCTCCGAGGACGAGGCTCAGGACATGGAATTATAATAATAGGACCTGGTCCCTTCACTTGGGGTCCATGCGCAACACAACTTAGCCTTTGTTTTTCCAATTGTACACTCAAAGCAAAAGATGTCATCTTGTACATAAAATTTGCATTCTTTTTCATCCATGTTGGATTGTATGTGTGTGTGGCCAGTGAAACTGCCTGTTTTTGTTTTTGATTATGTTTTTAAAAACTGTTTTCATTTTTAACCACTTATACCCTCCTGTGTTTTGTTCATTCGGTGGAAAAATGCAAAACCAGTTGTCTTAACGTGCTCAAAATAGAACTTTATGGGACGGTTAAGTCTGATTTGATTTGGGTGGAAAGCCTAGTTGGAAGTTGTAATATTCGTACATTATTGCAAGAAATCAAACTGGCAGAACACTGTAAGAAGGTTCTAATATTTTCATGGTTGTGAAAAATGAGGAAAATTCGTTACACGCGGCAAGGTTAGGATGGAGAATGGTTCTTGGAACTAAAAGAAAGGGAAATCCGACACGTGTGTAATGACTAAGGAATTTGAAGGACTATTTCTGTAGAGACCATGGCCGTGTTTTGTCGTTTAAAATGTCTTAAAGATCACAAGGATATTTCTGTATTACTTGTAAGAATTTCATCAAAAACTTTTCCGCAAGTTGGCAAACAAAAGATGAAACGTATCTGTTTTGGATTTTGAAAAAAATTAATTTGTTAAGCATAGTAATAGCAAATTTAGTGATAATCTAGTCTAAAAATGTATTTTTATGTTTTTCGTTTCAATGATGTACTTGTTTTATTGATTAACAAATAACTATGAGTGGGAACCTGTTTTTAACTCTCCTGGTTTTGCTCTTTAACCTCTGCTCAGTTGTAGGAAGTATGCTTTACCTTCTTGACATAATCCCAATCAATATTTTCATCTTGTAAATAGAACCAAACGGATGTGAAGAAATAACATATTTTTAGGATGGCTTTGAAGTGATTTAGCATTCTTTGATTGATGAAAGCTGCCCGTGATAACAGGTAATTTTTTTTTTAGAAAGTTTCTTATTTGAATTAAAAAATTTATGATCATGATATTTAGCTCCTAACTGATTATTGATTTTCTAAAAAGTTTTTGGTAGGAGAAGTTACATTACAGCCAATAGTATAGTTACTTTTTTGTTTCAAATAGTCTATTTTTCAAAACTAATACAGATATACTTAAGTTTATTTTATCATTTCCAATTCTACTTGTTCGGAAAGCCTCTGTCAGCATGGATTTTATTTTAAGATCTTCACAAGGTGATGATTTTTGTCTCCTTGTTTTTAACTTCCCCTCTCTTTCTCTTACAGAAATACCCTTTGCATAAGAGGATTATCAATACTTAATAAGATTAAATCTTTTTCACTTTCTAGTTGGAAGTGGAGAAAATAAGAGATTTTTAGGATAGGTGTTTGGTGAACCTTCCTTTTTGCAGTATGGCCTTAAGAAAGTTTTCATTTAAAATAAGTTTATTTGAAACTTTTTAAAAATTTGATTCTAGGGCAACAAGAAAATGTATATTAATCGGAAGACATATATAAGTAGTTTTATTTGTTCTAGTAGTTGACTTGTTCTGGTTTGTTGTTTCCTGTGCCACACCATGTGTATATGTATATATATATATATATATATATATATATATATATATATATATATATATATATATATATATATATATATATATATATATATATATATATATATATACGATAATCCATTAATCCCTCTTTGTTGTCTGAGCAATTGAAGCTGGAGATAGTTTACTGCAGCAGGGGGGAATGTGTGTTATGCTTGCTGTGAGCGCTATTGGGGGACAGTACTCATATAATTCCATGTCCATATAAAATATGTGTAGATGAAAATAAGACAGGTCGTGGTGGTATAAAAAGAAGTCTAGAGAGAAAGAGTGAAAATGGGAGAAGGAAAAAAAGAGAGATCTGATGAGAGAGAGAAGGAAGCATGGCAAAAGTATTGAGAAAGAATGAAATGGGTTAGAGTGAGAGATGGGTGGGGTTGGCAGGAAGGGGTTGTGATTTGATTGAGAAAAAAAAACGAGAGAGAGAGAAAGAGAGAGAGAGAAAGAGAGAGAGAGAGAGAGAGAGAGAGAGAGAGAGAGAGAGAGAGAGAGAGTTGTTATGACTGTTAGTTTTGACTTGAATGCACTCCGTGCCCCCAACCTAGATTATTTTGCTAATGATGTTATGCATGCCGTGTGTTCCGAGTAAAGTGTCCTCACGGGCTCTGCTTTAATGCCATGATCATAGTGTGCGAATGGATAGTCTTTTGTATTCTCCTCCCGGCATATAGTTTTATAGTTTCTGCTCTCTGTCATATTGAGGTAGATTTCACTGGCCTTGTGTTTTATAAGCTGAGTGTCATGTGAGAGCTGTAATAACTTTGTGCTTGAGAAGTGTGGCAAGTCTCAGTCATAAGTGTGTGGTTTGAAGTGTGAAAGTCAGGTGTTTTTTTGGTTTTTTTAAAAGAAAATTGATTTTAGCCGATGGTGACTGTTTTTTCTGTGTTGTGGGGACAACTTGATGAACTTGGCTGTGTATCAGTGCTTGATTTACTTTTTGTTTCTGATCTTTCATTGAAGTTACAAGTTCCTGAACATGCTTGTTTTAAAACATCTGTGCTTCTCTTTTTAATTTGTCGTGTACTCCGACTGATAGGCCTATATTTTTGAGATATGTTTAGAGATAGGTCTGTGATTGTGGTGTGTCGGGAAGGGGGGGTATAAGATTCGACTATGACTGTTTTAAATTGCTTTTTTTTTATTGGGGTTGGGTGGAAATATTCTTCTCCTACTTTATCTCTTATGTTCATTATGTTGAGACTCATTTTTTAAACTCAATATTCCCGACCGCAAACACATGTTATTTCCATGTCCGTTTCATTCTTTCACTTTTTTTGTGTTTTCGGAGAATTCCTTTAAGAACTTCGTGGAATTTCAATATATACATGTAATTGTTTGCAAGCTTCTGTGACATGAATATATGCCCTAGTATGTTGGTTATGCTTGTCTGACACTCTGTCAAGTCTTTCATTTTTCTCTGTAAGGACATGAATCTTCTGTGACCCTCCTTTGTACTGCAATGTTTTATACTTGATGAATAGTGCAAGTTCTGATCAGAAAGTTCATCCTTTGTAAAACTAGTGTCTTACTTTCATACTATTAGCAATAATTTTTAACCTTTTACACCCTGGACGACTTTCTGTGAGCTTTCGTTTCTGATATGTTCATGAAAAATCAATCAGTAACATACACTAAGACTTATGATGTAAAAATGATATGCTTTAAGAACTACATACGATGAATTTTAGTTTGCTCTAAATTTATTTGCATTAAGTGGTGACAAAGAAGTAAGCAATAATACATTGAGAGTTTAACTTTCTTGACTTGGTCTCCTGAACGATGCCTCCGGGCCTGCTGAACTTTAAAAAAGTTAGACATGACCTTGATTCAGACTTTTCATTCATTTTATTTTTATACTTCTGCTTCTAACTTTTTCTCCATTTCTCGTTTTGAGCAGTTACTGACTGAACACATTATTGATATGTGAAGCATTGTGGTGAAATAAGGCACTCGTCAAAATAATGAAATGGAAGAAACCAACATTTTTTGGTTTGTTTAGCACATTTTTATTGAATTCTTGTTTTTGGACTCGACACCTTTTATGTCCATTTAAAAACACATTTCTGTGGGGATGTAACTGAAAATTGTTGATTAAAGGCACAAAAAATGTAAATTTGCAGTTTCCAAGGACTCTCAAGCTTTGGAAGTCACCAAACTTTGACGGCCATTTTCTTGCTAATTTACCTCTGAAACCATGTGACTCCCATCTCTCTCAATCACAAACATCTCAACTTGTATTCAAGAGAGATGTGTATTTTTTTCACGGAATGCAAGACAAATGAAATAGTTAAGATGATACCAATAAATCCACGTGCCTATGAACTGACGAGTGCCTGATTTGACCGCATTGTGACTCATATAGACCTCTGTAGCTGTTTGCTGTGATGGTTTGGAGTGAATGGGGAATGAATGAAGACTGTATAACATGTATTTTTATCCCATTTATCCATCCTCCCATTCGTCGGCCGCTATGCATTTGATTTCTCCCCAATCCCCGGAGCATAATCACTCTGTGTATTCTTCACATTTGGATTTCCATCCAGCTTTATTGTCTTTTGTGGAAACATTTCCCTTGTCTTGGTTAACCTGGTGAACAACTCCAAACAAGAGTGGATCCAACTGCATTTGGTTCTCAATTCTCATTTTGTAGTGGAGATCGTGACAGAATACAAGTTTGACAAGAGAATGGTCAAATTAAAGTTTTCATCACATGCTTCTTATTTTGAAAATGAAAAGTTGTTTGCTTTTTTTACTTTTTTACTTTAAAAAAAAAAGAAAGAAAAATACACCCAGTGACCTGAAATGAACAAAGAGGTTTCAAACACAGTTGAATGAAGCAGGGAACCTTCCTTTTCACAAGTCATGGGTAGGTTTGGGCCAGATTTTGAGATTGGGGACACTCTAGAAACAGTAATATATGGAGCAAGTAAATTTTTATTTCAAACCATTCGTTTTATAATTAGATAAATCCATTAAGCATTTGGCCTGCAAGTGTTGTATTACAAGCAGAACCATGAGCGATACACTATTTTTTGTTGTTGTTATGATAGATCTGAACAGTTGCCATGCTCTTGTAGTATATTATTACACTGGGATAATGATCCTTGGAGATATTTGTGGATCTATTTCTATATTGATGATTAGTCAAGTACTTTATTGGTCATAATTAAGGTTTGGGGTTTCAAGTAGTACTATTCTCTTGACGATACTGAATTAAACAGGAGGAGTGAAAAGTCAAAGCCACTTGTAATTCTTTGCGTTAGCTTCTTTCCTTGGTTTACCTTTTCTTACGATCTGAAGATTGGCATCTGTGGTGTAAGTGTAATGGTCAGGCTATTAGCCTTGCACACAGAAGATGCGAGTTTAATTGCTGAGTGGGGAAATTTGATAAATTGTTTTTCTGATGGTATACGGTATGGTATGGGGAAAGGTCTAATACGACACACATGACGGAATACGTCACTTAAAGTGACACATCTTCACAAGAGATTGGCATCTGTGGTGTTGTGGCTAAGCTCTTTGCCATTGAACATGAAAGGTGTGAGTTTTATTCCTGAGTTACGATGTTGGTTTTCTATAGTATTCTCATCTGTCTGCTGGGATACTGTATCTCACTCGCTTTGAGTTGGCTATTACTGACTGGGTCAAAGCTGCCTGCTTTTTAAATGATATTATTATCTAAATTACAACCAATCAGCACCCATTTATTAAAAGCGACTGTGCGTTCACATGATTTTCTTGATTTCCAAGAATTTCTGTGGGCTTTAGAATTCACCAATAGTGCTTGTGATCGTGAGGTTGCGGGTTCGAGGATTTGAGACTCAGCTCGACCTGATGTTGTCCTTTGAAAAAGAACTTTACATACAAGAATTTTCCTCACTTCACCCAGGTGTGAATAGGTACCTGTCTGTAGACGGTAAAAGATCTTGTCAGTGTGTTAGTGTAGATCTTGTCAGTATGTTAATGTTTCAGCACCTGTAAAATCGGCAGCTTGCACTTAATGCTTCTTAGGAAGTTGAGATGGTTTCTAGATGCTTTCAGGTCTGCGGGGGGTAATAATATTATTTGTAAAGCACATAGGGCTTGCTGTTGAGTGGAAATTTGCGCTATACAAATGCCAATTTATTATTATTTTAACTTCATACAATAAAGTAAATTACTATCTCATTGTTAATGAGCCTAAGCAAACTATTGAGAGAGTATATATTATCTATCATAATAATATATCTAAGTAAAAGGCAGAATCTTAGTTTTTCTTATACAGTTATTGGTATCAATTAAGT